CCACAAAATTACAGAGAACCAGTAAGGATGTAATTAACTGCAGGACAACAGCCTTTGACAAAAGTAATTATCTTAATTATTTTTACATCTTTTAAGACATAATCCCTTCATTTTCTTATTTATATTTTCATTTATGTTGTTATCTTGGTTTACCTGGGAAACCTTGCTGGATCGTCTTTAAAATATGCCACGTAATTGCATAAAGTATTATTTAAAATATTACAGAATTTATTACAAAAATAAAGTGGGTTTTGAATTTTTTAAGATATACCACTTTTAATACCTTAACTATCTCAATACTTACTGCACCTGGAATTCATCACCCTTACAACTGAAAAATTTAGCAGCCAAAAAAGTGAGTGATAGAAATACGGCTGATATTATCTGATCTCTATTCCTCGGCAGTAGTGTACTGTGTCCTCTCTGTGAATAATAAGAGAGAGCAGTTGGGAATTTTTGTCTTTGGGAACAATAAACAGCCTCAGGCACTGAGAATCCACCCTACATTTTATTTCTGCAAAATTTATCTTTCACAGCAAAAACATCCTAGCGCTGGTACTAACTATCCCATTTTTGAAAGAATTCTTTCCAATATGACAGGAAATGAGTTTATTCTGAGGATACAATTGCTCATCTATGCTCAGAAAAAGTTAAGGAAGTGTTTATATAGTCTAAATTCACCCTTTATCTTTCAGAGACATATTATTAAAGTATAATGCCAGAGAATTCACCAGGCTTTTATTTTCTCTGGCTGGCCCTCTATCTTAACCGATGACTATATACCTATTAAAAGGGAGTTTTGAATGAACTCTCTTATTTGTCTGAATTGCTGGATCCAGTCCATATATCTACTCAGAAAAAGAACCTTCTTACTTGGTAGACAATAATTCCATTGACTTTAACTGCTACTGCACTTCAGGAACACTTCTCATCCTAAATGCCAAAAAAAAAAAGAGAAAAGTGACTTCTTTTAATAGCAGAAGGAAGAACAATTTGATGGAATCAAATCTACAGTCTGTGCACCTTCAGTCTGGATTGCTGCAAATTGTTCTGTCTAGGGCTGAAATGGCACTCCCTGAAAAAAGCCCCAAAGGCTACTAAGACTAAATGCCCACCTACGTTGTACTGGAGACAACAAGCATACTGAACAACTCGCAGACCCCACTGGGACATCGCTGAATAAATAATCTAGCGCAAGGCCTCTAGCTTGGTATTCACAGCTCTTGAGAGGACTAAAAGTTTGAAAGACTGCCTCTCCCCTCAACGGCTATTTTTCACTTGAGTAATGAATGTACCTAACTCCCTGGGAAAAACTCACTAACATTCAAAGTACCTAGACTATATCATGCAATTAAAAAACAAAACAAAACAAACCCACAGGAAAACAAACCCCAAAGAGATCAAACTGGAATTTAAACACTTTTAAAAATAAATGCATCTCTTCAAGCCAATTACACCACACACTAATTATTTTTTCCACAGATGGATATCGCTACTATGAAGATACGCAGTTAACACATTTCAGAATTGTCTTCAGATTCCAGAAAACCCTGATTTTTTAAAGTGGGAAATTTGCCAGAACTAGCAGCCTTATTCAAAAATAAAGACATTTTCTCTTGATGAATAACATAACAAGAATCAGCAATGATTCTTGTGTTGTAAACTGGTATTTACTTCATAGCTAAATATTACTACAGCACAAACACATTTCACTTAAAGATCTGTGTTTGAAAAATTGTTCTGAAAAGCTCCGAGTGTTGCAAACCTCATTTTGCTCTTTTCCTTTCTTCATGTTTTGCTTTCTAGATCTTCGGATGAAAAAACCTCCCGAGTTACCCAGGACAGGGATGGATATTGGCCTGGCTTTGCTACATCCGTCTGCGGTTAGTGAACTGCCCACTGCAGAATATAAGGGACAACTTCACGCCCCTCAGCCTTTCTCCCAGCGTATATAAATCCAGTGTATAAAAGCCCAACACATAGTGTAAGCAAACATGTCATTTGCCTTTATACCAATCTGAACAAAAATTACAGACCACATTAAATTATGTAGTCATTATTTTTCTTTTTAGCTCAATATTTGAGTTCAATAAACAAATTAGGAATGTGTTTTCCATTAACAGGAGATTATGAATGAAGAACCATTAAAGCACTTAAAAAAGCAACCATAATTAATTATTTAGTCCTTTGAAATACTGATTTGTGACTGGAGATAGTTTATTATATAATTACTGTACATCACCAAATAGTCTTTCCATGCAAACTCCAGGAAATCATGAAAATAGAAAAGTTTTGTTTCAGCTCACACTTTTTCCATAAAATCACTGCTCTTTTGTAGAATCCAGTTCCCATAAAACAGTAGTTTACTGTGAGAGGAGTGTTGAATAGAGCTAGTGTATGCAATCTGGTTGTAGGAAAAATAAAATTTTTTTACATCTTTCTTTTAGATTTCTGTTATTCCTCCAAACAAAAAGATAGAATCTGGTTTGTCACAAAGCTAAGAGAAACAAAGATTTTAGCTTTGCAAAATTATTTTGTTTAGTTACTTAAAGGTCTCTCATAGGTGACTATAACTGAAAAATAAAGCACAATCGCCAGTGAAAGTAGAGTAGACTAGTTGGAACACATGGAAATTAAAATATGTCATAAATAAATAAATCAATTAAATAATTCAGTGTGCTCAATATGTAGGGTATTAGTTATTAGTTACAGAAAAGTGTGGATAATTTTGAAAGGGGAACAGCTACAGGCCTTTCAACTGCTTCATTTTCTTTCATGGAGGCCCACGACTATGTGGGAATACAGTGACTTTTGGAAAAACTACATTTTCAGCCCACAGAACACAATGAGACCTAAGTAACAGCACGACAAGCCCCTCTGCAGTAATGATTTTTTTTCTTAATTAGGCTTCACATTACTGTTATGTAGGAGCCATCTCTAAGAATGGAAAGGGTAGTGTTGTCTCCAGCACCCATCCAACCCTTCATTTCTTACCCAAGACCACCAGATTAAGAGGTTGTTATATTGGCTACTCCACATCAAATGAACTGAGATCACCAGCTCACTTCTTAAAGACCAGGGAAGAATCGCTTTAGATTAAAATAAGAAGGAAAGTAATGAACTTAAAGTTTAGCCCAAGAACCCAAAGACAGAAGAGATTCTCCTTTCAGGAGTTCCTGTTACGATTAATTTTAAAAAAATCTCCTGTCTTATCTGCCTTCTGGTGCACATGTCAATGCTATGGATTTCACATGTGACCCATCAGCATCTCAAGACAGCGTTTGCCCTTTAATAACAAATACAATGTTTGTCGACTTTGTCTCACAGTAATTTCTAATTCATATTTATTAATCTGTTTGTTATTAGAAGATAATTTCAATCAGAGATCTTAATCCAGGACTGAAACAACTGTTTTCAAAAGATGAAGAAAATCAAGGCTTAAAACCAGTTTGTGTAGCTAGGTCTAGAATTTATTACTCCTGAGAGAACAAAGATACAAAATACATGTGAAAACTACACAAAGATTTCTACAAAGTAAAAAGTAGAAAGAGGGAAAAGGGAAAGCTACAGTTCAGTGGTTACACAGAAATGCATGGCATGCATTAAAATATTGTAAATTCATGAAGTTTTTTTTAAGTGCAAATGGTTTTTTTTTTTAACAGTTCTCACTGAAAAATATGCAAATTGATACCTATGTTGTACACTTGCCATATTATCAGAAAGACACCAACACAAATCTATGCATATACACATCAATATGTCTGAAGTACATTTTGTGGTTTTGTTATTCGTAGGCACTAGTTACAAGTTCGGTCAATACTCAGTTTCAGAAATGAAGTGGCAGCGCTTAAAGAACATTTCTTAAATAACTACTAATAAAGGAATTTCTTCTTAAAATACCAAGAGGATGAAATAATTTGCATTGCCATTTATAAGCATCCAACAACCAAAGAAGTATTTACAAATCATCAACCGTACAGATAAAGAACAGTATCAAATACTCTGTGTAAAAAGATAAATAATTAAAATGCGTATTCCCACATCACAAAGAAATGTGATCATACAAATTATGGCACCATATGTTTGTGAAACATCAAAAATAAATGTAGCACATAGATACCTCCTCTTATATTTTACATTAAAATGTACAGTACAATGACTGTAAAATGTCAATGTCACAACACCCATTGTCATCAAACACTTGCTTCTGGTACTAGCAACTATTATTAGAGTCTGTGTTTATAGAGAAATTCCATACTTCAACCTTGGGCTAATATTGCTCTGTGATATTGCTAGACCACAAAACTTACATATTTTCTTTACAACAATCTAATAGAAAGAGCTATTTCACATGTGAATATTCTGGAGGAAACTGAGAGATGAAATTTATTTCTCTGTGTAGCAAAGTATGGGTTAAAAAACCTAACATTTCTATTTTTAGCCACAAATAGCTTAATTCAAAAAAATATTTCTCTAATAAATTAATTAGAGAAATATTTTTTTGAATTAAGCTTTATCCATTTCAAATTTTGATCATAAATGGTACTGTAATTTTCAACACATAATTAGGGTTCCTGCAAAAGCACTTAAACTTCCAAGCTCTAATCATGTATCTCATTATGACAAATTGATCAGAAAATCTGGAACGCAACAGCGCTACAGAGCTCAAAAGGCTGATATCCTGTTTTGTACTCCCAGGGTAAAGAATGAGATAATTATAGCATATGGACGTATTTTAAAGGTTTGTCTGCATGTGTCCATTTCTGGCCACATGCCAAATCCAAACAAAAGCACATTGTTAAAGGCAACCAGAACTATTATAGTTAGCACAGACTAAGGCAATGAAAATATTTTTTTCTTTTCTTTTTTTTTTTTGTAAAAAAAATTAAGGTGCAGAGAGAATTCTCCTTCTTGTTTTAATGGGTGCCAAATGCTGATTAACAGTGTTAAGGAAAAGTAGTTTTACATTAAAAGGAAAGACTACTGAAATCTAGAAATACCTGAATTGGATCTTTGATATCCAGATTTTTCCTGATTACCTGCAAAAGGAGTTGGGGGCGGATAGTTGGCTTCTGTGAGTTTACTGATGTCTGACGGTGGCGTAGGTGGTGGTGGTGGTAGCAAAGTGCTGTTGGGGCTACTGATATCTCCTTCAGCCACAAGAGTCAAATCTGCCACATTCTCATCATCTACCATCTGAATGCCTTCAGCTTGCAATTCTCTCGACTGCCTTTTCCACACCGCTGCACTGTTTTCCTGTGCATGCGGGATCGGAGACAATGCGGCATTAAAAGGAACACTGAAAGTCTTCTGACTGTGGAGCGCTGTTAAAGCGGATTTATGTTTATTTTCCAAGTAACCCATTTTCTTAACTGAATTTTCATTAAAGTTTTGAACGGCCTCCTGTTTACCACTCGGTGATGTGCATCCATCCTTGCCATCGCTTTTTGCAACTCGCTTGTTGAGGCCCTTAGGGCCCACAGGAGTCGATGAGGCTGGTTCTGGTCCAGCGGGCGGTAAACGAAGAAAGTCAGGAAGAATAAGGTCTTCTTTCCTTAGCAGTCCACGTTGGTCATCTGCTCTGTTACTTTGAGCTTTGGATATGAGTTCAAAAAATTCTATTGGGGAAAAACCCAAAATTGACAAGTTTTTGTCAGAAAGTGCAATGTCATTAAAATGTAAATTTTCAGCACATTTATTTTCCAAGAAGATCTTCAATTCTTTCAATGCTGCCTTGAAATAAGATCCTATGTTAATTAGGAACTTTTTCAATTGCAGCAGTGTTCGCTAGCGTCACTATAATTAAGACCATCAGGATAGCTATTGTAAGAGTTTTGCAGTTTAGAACAGCTGCAATTCACAGAGCCTTGAACACATCTTCTATTTTATGCAGTTAGTAAATCTGTACACACAGAGGATTTTTTAATTCTTTGTACCAAACAAGGCTCTGGTCTTACTGACAATGGGTGCACATTTTTATATTCTGGATGGTTTTTACCCATCTTAACTGAAGAATAGCCATGCCATCTGAAAGTTCAAAGATTCAAAATGCTGCAAACTTCCTTGTTATATTGAATTTCTCTTGGTTTATTAATATTTTATCACAGTTTAAATTCAATTCATGGTGCAGTTTTAATCCAGGATGTTTATAATCACAGGGCATGATCAGACGATGATTTAAATAACCCCATTTTACTTTGCATTGCAATGAATCAGTAGCATATAGGCAGTCAATAACAATCAAAGAAGCCATTACTAAAAGCAATGGGGCAGCTTTTTTCACAGAGTTTTTAACACAATTAGAAGTGATTTTCTGATCATGTCCTTAATGATGTCCAATGGTTTAATATGTTTCTCTATATAAATAATACTCATAGTATTTCACCACTGTTCTAGAAAGTCTCAAAACTTGGCAACAAGAAACTTATCAATCCTAAGCCAAGAATTATACCACTCCTCAAAAAAGAAGCATCGCAACAATAAACAAACTCTTTAGTACAAAACATATAAATATAAAAATATTTAATTCTTAATATAGGGTCTCTGCATGACCTAATTTTTCAAGATAGCACTGAAACTATGGAATATTAAAGATGCTTAAAAAGACCATTTCCAGCCGATGAATTTAAATCAACAGTTTCAAACCAGCTGATAAATACTGTTTGAAGGAAAAGCCATTACAAAATAAAGCACAGAATGTTAGTATCAGTTTTAACTTAGCATAATACAAAGTCATACGCTGGCACTTGTATGACCTTATTCCTAATCCTCTATTTGGCAGGCTTCACAATGTATTTGTAAAAACGACTTTTTAACATGCTTTTGTGAAATGCCATAAAATCTGACCATAGCCAAGATGGAAGCTTCAAAATGCTTCTTATTGCCAGAGTTTTGCAAAATGGCAGTATGCATATTAAAACATGCAACATTTTAATATGTGTCATACAAAAATGTTCCCTTAAAATTGCAAACTTCATAGAACAGTTGTTATTTTTTTCATTTAAAAAACGGTCTACAACATTTGGTACGTGTTTTCCAAACTTGGACAAATTTCACAAAATTCAAAATAAAATGTGAAAGCCTCGAATTCTGAAGTTTTCAAATTATGTTAATGTTTTACTCAGCCCTAGGAAGAAAAATGAAAATATTAAAATATGGAAAACAGTTTACAGAAGAGTAAACAACATAAAATGCACTAATATTTTGTAATAACATTTATATTTACAAACACCTATATTGCAACAAAAGTTTTAGCCACAGCATTTTTTTCAATTCCAGTCAGGGGACATTTATTCACAGATGAACATTCACTTGCTGCACAACTGTGCATAACCAGGCTTTGGAAATGCGCTTTAGGTAACACCAGCAGTAAATTTTAATCTGTGGGTAAAATATATCCTCTGACTTTTAGTACTTGGGAAAATAGGGAAGAACGTGTAGGGCTGATGAGACAAGTAATTGCTTCAGGTAACGCCCTAGGGCAGTGGGTGGTGTGTCAAAATTTCTCCTGATACCTCATTTTTATTCATCTTTCTCCCATGGACATCATTGTATAAGAAAGCAAATTCTCTTATGAGTTATTTTCCAGTGACATCACCAACACTATCAAGATGCAATTGAAGGTAAAAGTAGGACTCGGAACATACGTCATTACCAATAACCTTTTTGCTTATTTCTACTTCTAACCACCTTTTCAGAGTTGAATGCAAACAAAGCTTCTATTCTTGCCCATCACAGCTCCTTCACGGCCATCAGATTTTACTGCCCTGACTGTTAGACTTCAGGAGAAAATTTTCAAAAATTCTTACCTGAGTAAGTTAGGGTCTACCCCATTGTGCAGAACGCCTTTCAGTGAGTTGAAGACTCTTATTTAAAGGCGACCAGAAATGCAAGCTTCTACCAGGCTTGCAAAGGGTATCAAATGGGATATTCAACTGCAAGTGAACTACTAATTCCTTTTATTTTACTGGAATTAGGTACCGTTCACTTTTGAAAATCCCACTAGGCACCTCCATCTATCTTCAGGTATTCTAAAAATTTTACCTTCAGTTTAAAATACTTTACAATTCACAGTATCAAACAAAAATATAAGGGTCATGACTATGATTTTCACAATGCACTATTAAACATACCATACCTTTTCCTACACAGATACAAAATTCTCATTTTTCTACAACTACTTATGTTAATACGTAAACTATAAAGTTCACATACCCTCTGCTTCATCCAAATTTATTTTCTGACATTTTTTTTTCCCAATCTTTGCAATAGAGTCTTCTCTCTTTGACAGCCGGACTTCCCTAGCATTTTTTCCATTTTCGCCTTTCATTTTGATAGAATTAGACTTTCCTAGTGTTCTTCCCTCTCCCTGCATTAGAAGGAAAGTTAAGGTACTACTTACATTTAGGCTATATTGTTGCGTACAGTCTAAGTGAATAAAAAAATTATTTTGAAAACACATTTCTCTAATATCATCACAACAAATGTTTTAGTTTAATCTTGATTATTGCAAAGAATATTTGCCAAAGTAGATCCCAAAAACGTATAAACAAATATAATATTGTTTACTTTGAAGACATCACATTACAGAGAGGGCCTTTGGATTTCAGAGTAGTTCAGTCATTTTCAAATATAGATAGGCCAATGAGACACAAAATTACAAATACAATACAATGAAAGAGCTCTTTGAATCATCATGAAAACAAAGTTCTCATAAATAAATGCTGCTGACAGTGGAAAAATATCAGATGAATTATAGCTATATTCTACCTAGTTACATAATTTGGCTGATTCAAAAACATGGATGAATACAGCTTTTAGTACAGAATTCCAGAAGGAAAAAAAGATGATTTAAGGGACAAAAATCATTGCAGAAGACTTACAGTAGACACTTGATTTCTTGAAGTAGTTACAGTTGCACTCGGTTTTACTGATGCACCTTTTTGCTTATCTGTGAACACTGAACATAAACATACCTTCTGTAACTACAGGTTTATAATTTCCCAAAGAAGTAATATTTAAGTGACAACGATGCACAAAACAGATTTTTGTTTTAAAATTTCTCAAAGATGTTCTTAGAAAACAGAGCACAGCTCAGTCAAAGCCTACCAGGACATCCTTCTCATCTTTAGAGTTTTCTAACAGGGGCAATACGTTCAAAGTTGAAAGATGCTGAAGTTTCATTTAAGTTCTCTTGAATTTTCAGTTGATTTAGATAAAGGAGCTTTTAAAACACCTCAGCTAAATAACTGAGATTGTAACTCTCAAATTAAGAATTTGAACAGAAGATAAAATTTGGCAGAAAAGACCACTGAAAGGTCATGTTGAATTTTTTCCAACCTGTTTCATGCATCACTTGTCTTCCAGACATTGCCATAGCCTCCTTGTCTACTAATAAGTAACTAAATGACTCCTTCCAATTACATCTGCCTACAACAAATGTGCTAACTGAAGACCAAGCTGCAAACACAGAATCTTCGCCCTTTTTCACCAGTATATTCCCACCGAACCAGCCTACTGCTAGAATGATCCTCTAAGATGTAGGTTTTTATAGCAGCTGGCAGCACACAGGACTACAGTTTTACTTGTAATCCTTAAACTAATCATCTGTAAGAGTATTTAGATTGATGCAAGGCATTTGACACCGTCTCCCAGAGCATCCTCATAGGTAAACTGAGGAAGTGTGGTCTGCATGACCAAGTAGTGAGGTGGGTCACTAATTGGTTGAAGGGAAGAAGCCAGAGAGTTGTAGTCAATGGGACAGAGTCCAGTTGGTGGCCTATGTCTAGTGGGGTCCCTCAGGGGTCAGTGCTGGGGCCGTTGCTGTTCATTATATTCATCAATGACCTGGATGAGGGATTAGAGAGCACCGTCAGCAAGTTTGCTGAGGACGCGAATCTGGGAGGAGTGGCTGACACACCAGCAGGCTGTGCTGCCATTCAGAGAGACCTGGACAGGCTGGAGGGATGGGCAGGGAGAAATTTTATGAAGTTTAACAAGGGCAAGTGTGGAGTTTTGCACTTGGGATAGAACAACCCCATGTACCAGTACAGGCTGGGGACCGACTTGCCAGAGAGCAGCGTAGGGGAAAGGGACCTGGGTGTGCAGGATGGGACAGCAGGATGACCATGAGCCAGCAATGTGCCCTCGTGGCCAAGAAGGCCAATGGCATCCTGGAATGAGTTAGAAGGGGAGTAGCCAGTAGGTCGAGAGAGGTCCTCCTGCCCCTCTGCTCTGCCCTGGTGAGGCCACATCTGGAATATTGTGTCCAGTTCTGGGCCCCTCAGCTCAAGAACGACAGG